TATATTTATATATATATTTGTCATAGGTCTATAAGATCCATCTGTTCCTCCTACCCTAAGGAATGGCTAATGTCATCATTTCGTTGTCATCAGGACGTTTGCTGGTTTTGTTACGAGGGCAGCCGAGCTTCCCCTATTCAATATCCAGTAATTATAAACACTAGCTGACTTGAATACCAACAAAAACGTTCATGTAGTTTTCTTCAGAAGTACACTTTTTCATTATTGCAAGTTTACAATTTTTTAAATTAAATATTTTTTTCAGACTTACAAATTAATTATATTTTTTTTTTCCAAAAGAAGTTTAGGCACAAATGCATTGTTCCACAGTGTGGAGAGATTGCCATTCAGTCTCTGGGCCGTGTCTCAGCCTGTACATCCTGCTTCGCACATTCTGAATGATATGTTAAAGAAAGTCGTCCCTCAAGTTGCACTTTTTGTCTTTCTTTTTTTGTTTCCTTTTCTGTTTTTTGATAATTGGGAATGCTGAAACCTCTTGCGTCTGCGATTCATAACTACTCAGACTTGTCTTATATTACAAAAAAAGGGGTTAAGGAGCAGTGTTTATGTGGGTTTAAGATAATACAGCCGTTAAGGAAGTGGTCTCTTGTTTTAATGAAGCAAGGTGGTAACTTGGACCTGAGAAAAGAAAAGGAGAGAAAAAAAATCATTAATATAGCTAGTGAAGAGGAGTATTTTAATAATGATTTTGAAAAGCCTTCTTTTTGCAAGAAAGGAAAATGTCTGCTAATCTAGATAAAACCTGATGCTCATGGATGCTGCTGGGAATTATGAGCGAGCAGCAACTGCAGAAAACTGACCCAACGTACCCTTTCACATTTGTCCCATGTGATTTGATGCGTCTCCCATCCCCGGGTGCGGGCCAGCCAGGGAGAGCGGGGGAGGCTCCGAGGACACCTTTTCTTCCTCCCTTCTTTTCAGACACGCAGCTTTCGGGTTCAGATTCCTTTCTGTGGAACATGAGAACATAGGGTATCCAGTCAGGGCAGGGCTATGACAGGGGGTGGAGGCAGACTCCTCTGTATATATTGGACTCTTTGGCTCAGATTTCACACCACGAAAGGAGGGGAGCAGCTAGGTAAGGTGACTCGTCTGACTGGTCACTGTGAAGTGCATGCCGCCGAAAGTGTACCACCACTTTACAGTAAAAAAAAAAAAGTCAGACATAATGGCTTAGGCCTGAAATCCGGGCACTTAGGAGGCAGAGGCAGGAAACCAGCTTATGCTATATAGAAATCTAGGTCAGCTGGAGCTACATTGAATGCTAGGTTTGCTTATAGAGTAAGACCCTTCCTTAAAAAGAAAAAACTTAAGGGGCTGGAAAGTTGGTTCAGTGGTTAAGAGCACTGGTTGCTCTTACAGAGGCCCTAAGTTTGAGTCCCAGCACCCACACAATGGCTAAAAACCATCCATAATTTCAGTTCCAGGGAATCCAACTCCCTCTTCTGACCTCTGTGGGCACTGTACAACATGGGTGCACTTACACACATGCAGGCAATCCACTTATATACATAGAATAAAAATTAAATAAAGTATCTTTATAAAAAAAAGAAAAATTAAAACAAATGGGTTGAGGGATAGGTCAGTCCATAGAGTGCTTGCTGTGCAGGCATGAGAACCCGAGTTCAATCCCCAGCACCCACATAGAAGGCACTCCAGCACTGGAAATTTAGAGACAGGTAGATCCTCAGGGCTCATTTGCTACGTAGCCTAGTTTACCCAGTAAGCCCAGGTCCCAGTAAGAGACCATGTCTCAAAAGGCAAGGTAAACAGCTCCTGAGGAATGACACCCCAGGCTGATATCTAGCCTCCTCAAATACCTGCACATACTTGTTCCCACCCACATCCACCACATAACCACACAAAAGAAGAATGAAATCAACTAAATCAAGTAAAAATATGATTGAGAGCACAAATATAGTTGTTATGTAACGTTATGATAATATCCTACAACTTAGTTCCAGGGGGGGTTCCATACTGTCTACATCTGAGCAGTTATTTGGAGGGTGCTTAGGCATACATCTGTCTACTGACCTCGCACTTGCTGCTCCAGGCTGAGGATGACTGCCACAGCCTGGTGGAGGATCAGGAGCTTGGTCTGGGGCTTGTCACTCTTGAGGTGGAGCTGTACCATGCGGCCCAGCTCCTTAAAAGCCTCGTTGATATCACGGACCCGCAGGCGCTCACGAGCATTGTTGGCCATCCTCCGTTCCTTCTCCCGTTCAGCCTTCTGCTCTGGGGTCAGGTCCTCATCATCGTTATTGCTGTAGGACGAGAGGATGTGACATTTTTTAATGGTGTGGGGGAAAGGAAAGTACCTATATTACTTTGTTTTGTTGCCAGAGTTGTTAAAGAACTGTTCCATCAATGTCTGTGTCCTTGGCAGAATTTTATCCACATGACCTTCGGGCTGTTTTAGAAAATCCATACACAAGACTTTTGGTCGCTCCCAGTCTCTTGACCCAAATCAAACAGGAGAGACTGATCTGGCTCCAACTGGGCCAATGTATTCATCTCTATGTAGGGAATACCAAGGGGAAATGACGATTACATGCACCCTTGTCCAGTTTGTATGCTGGTGGCAACTCGGATTCATGATGACACTTTAAAAATTGCTTAAGTTTGACCTTTTAAAAGATTTTTTATATTGCGATATGTGAAACCTAGGGAAAAATAAATGACTGAAAATAGATTTTGATAGATCATAGTAGATACAAGTCAGGTTAATAAAAGTCAGAACAAAATCCTGAATGGAACACATCAGAGTGAAAACCATATCCAGCCTGGTTTTGGATTGTCCAGTTCACCAACCTTGTGTGAGTTTCATTTCCTCCACATCTTAAATAAAAAGTTGGAAAAGCATGATTTCTTGGGCTTTCATATCATTTCATATTTGGGGTTTATGAACTCTAAAATAAGTTGGGGAAACCCAAATTGACATTAGCTATGTAACATAGTACAAAACCTGAACACCTCCTTATACTGATCATGACCTCATTGTGAGTCACAAATGAAGCAAAACAGGATTCTCTGTGAGAACCAAAATAATCTATGATTCATCACAAAGGCATGGCTGGGCTCAGTATGGATAAGATTGGTTCTGACCATTTCTGGAATCATAGTGACCCATCCGAAACTCTGCAGTGAAAGGCAACAAATAGGCAGATAAGCCATCTGGAGAGCTTATCACCCAACAGATGGATTCGTGGCACTTGGATTTGCGACATCTCAAGGGCTATTATAAAGAAAAGAAAGGTGAGGGAGATGTTTTGTCTTAAAAAGACACCACAAAACAAAGAACTCTAGACTGAACTACCATGAACAAGAATGAGGATAGACATGAGAAAAAAAAAAAAAAAAAAAGATATCACTAAAAAGAACTCACTTCCTGATACAAGAAACAGCAGGGCAGTGAGAAGTCCAGGCCAAGACATATATGAGATTTAAGTACTATGTGCTGACCTTTAAATTCCCTGGGTCTCATAGAATCAAGATGATGAAACCTAGCATTTCAGAACCAGAAACACGGAGGACTATCTACCCAAATCGACATGCACCTAATAAATGCTGATTTCAAAGCTCCAGCTGCTGTCTTCTAGATGGGTACTCCCTGACGAACTAGAGTCCTATTCACACAGCTCTTGCCTACGCCCATATCTTAGTGTTTCCCCTATGTTTTTCTCTAGCAGTTTCAGAGTTTTAAGTTTTAGGATAAGGTCTTTCACCCAATTTAAACTGATTTTTATACAGCGCGAGAGACAGGGCAGGATCTAGCTTCACTCTTTTCCATGTGGATATCCAGTTTTCCCAATACCGGAATATTTGGGGAAAGGAAGGACACTAGAAGGAGGCGAGGGAGAGGAGAGGACAACAGGGTGTGAAGATGGCCAAAGTCCATAATATATTTGAAAGGAAAAGTCATAACAAAACCCATCACTACATGTAATGAATATACACTAAGAAAAAAATTTACAAAGATATAAAAAAAAAATCCTCAGGCAGCCTCCAAGTTGCAAACGGGACTGACTCCCTGGAGAAATCCCAACCAACAAGAATTGGGAGTGGAATTATTGAGTTCACACAGCTCATGAGGACCTGTGGATACCAAGAACACTTAGGAGTGAGGTTGAGGGGTAGAAGACCAAGGAGCAATGCTGAAGGACCTGACTCTGGCTCCCTAGTGACCTCCCTTCCAGGTGTCACTGTGGTCCAGGTGGGACCAATAGATTCCTGACTGGAACAACCACGGCCAGTGCCTATCTTTCTCTGCTTCCTGATCATCCTCATTTCCTTGCGGGTCTCTCCGGGACCGCTGCTGGTGGCAGGGGAATGCGGGTTGCTTATTAATTCACTCCTGCACACCAGTAAGCAAAATGTTATGATAAGCTAAAGGGAACAGAGTTGACTCTTGACTGGGCTCACCCAAAAGCTACTCTGGCAATGTTTTTAGATCGTGAACGTGTGTCAGATCTTATACAGTGCAAAGCAGAAAATGAGAACCTCTCTTCCAAAGGTTTTCAGGTTAATTATTAATTAGAATTAGTTCTTCACATAAATAAATCGGCCATGAACTTAAACTAGATTTGAAGGGCACTGCTTCACAACACAGCTTTGGAGGCAACTTGGAAATACCATGTAAAACAAGAAGGCTCTCAAGAGCACTTATAAATGGGGTTCTGAAACTTCAAAGAACCCATTCATATGTACACATTATGGCCACTGAATTACCAAGAACCGACTCCACTAAGAGAGAAGCTGCTAAAGATATGAAATCCCCACCCTGGGATTTCTTACCAGTGTGGCCACAAAACGGAGAAATGGGCAGTGATGAGAGAGAGGAAAGTTAGAAGAATTTACTGTTTTGGGAATTAGTAGCAGATCACAGAGGGTCATCTGTCCTGATAGAAGGACAGGAAAAGGCTGAGTAAATTTAATCTTTGAGAGTCCTTGAGAGAACCATAGCCTTTTCAAAAGCTGTAGTCTTAGCACAACTGGGCAATCTGCAAAGAAAACCCAAAGTGATGACAGCAAAGCTTAAGAGTGCTGTGGAACCCCCAAACCACCTGATCAGCAGACACATCTAATTTAAAGGTATCAGATATTTCAGAGCATCGACCAGAAGCTGTTTCCCTGCAGCTCTATTTTCTGTAGTGGAGAGGAAGAAATTGGAATTAGTCTTATATACATCAACAGATTTAGAATAAAGCTAGGAAATCAGAATTTTCTTACTTTAGAGGTAAGAAAAATATTATAGTTGCAAATACATCAATTGGTTCTTTAGCATGGCTAAAATCCCTTTTTAGAAATATTTTAGAAAAAAAACATTTCTGACCAAATTTGAAGAATAGAGTTTTAACAATGAACTGTTTTCACTTGAATTCAGGCACAAATCATTTTATGGTGTGCAATTAGCAATGGGTCCAAATTCGTAAATTCAAGGGCACTTCAGGCTCACTAGAGTACAGGTATCTTAAATGATACTTTGAGTACTTCTAGAACAGGCCTTGTGTGTTTTCCTTTTATCTGTGGATTTACCTGCCAGGAAAAAACTGAGTAGTTTCTTCCTGTTCTGTTCACTTCATCAAAGTCCAATAAAGGAATTAAATGAAGCGACAGTATTATATACTGTTACCTAGATCTTGACCTAGTAATTGATTTGATATCCTTCTTGTCGTCATCTAATTTCTTGTCCTCAGATTTTGTGTCCTGCAGGTTCTCATCGCCTTCATCATCGGATTTGATCTCAGAGCTGCCGGAGGACACACTCTGCCCCTGGAGTCCTGGTGGCATGCCTAGAGAAAAACAAAACAGAGACGGGGTGACACCAGAGGTTCAGGTACATGCACATGCTCAAACATCCTCAAGTGCTAGCTGCCAACAAACAATCCATCCCGCCGAACTGTGATCCTCCTGTCACTTTTTTCCTGGTGAAGTTTCAAAAATGCACCTGCGGAAACAAGTTTTTCCCTGCATTGGCTCTGAGGTTAAATTCTATTTTGCAATCTTTTGGAGTAGATGGTAATTTCACTGTCTACAAAACATCAACTTAATTGCAATGAAAATCATAATCATGAAAATCACATACCTCAATGTTCTGATTAAGAACCCGAGTAAATATCAGCTATTATATTGAGTTTCTTCCATACGCAATGATTTAATAGAAAAATGTCCTGAAAATATAATTCCAAGGGAGTATGCTAAATATGTACAGTCAAGACTTCAATAGATACCCTAATGATATTCTGAAATTAGGCTTCTCTTATCTTTGCAGAGTAATCAGCATTTAAAAATGGTACATATGGAAGGTGGTGTGCTGCTTGTGGGCACGATCTGGGGTTTTATCACTGCTCCACTGCTTGTGTTCGTGTTCATTCTTCATTTCAAAGATTATTTATTATCATTTATTTATTTGTGTGAGTGTACACTCACACAAATAAATAAATGAATGAATGAATAAATGTGGTGGTACACACACCTGTGTGCACAGGGAGGCCAGAAGAAGGTGTCCAGTGTCTTCCTCTATCACTCTCTGCCTATTCCTTTGAGGCAGGATCTCTCCCTAAACCTGGAGCTGTGTTTCCTTGGCTAGGTTGGAAGCCAGTAATGACCAATGAGATCATCCTGTATTCATTTCCCTTGGAGCTGGATCTACAGACATGCATGGGATGCTCAGCTTGTTATATGGCTACTTCTGGGATGCCAACTCTGGTCTTTATGATTGCACAGTAACCACTCTTAATCACTGAGCCATCCATTCAGTTCCTATAGTGTATTTTCAAGCATAACCTTAATATACTCTATGTCTCAGGTTGATGCAAATCTATCAAGAATATCCTTCTGCTTGTAATCTGTGTACTCTAGAACCTTGTGACTCAGAATTTGCTCCATCAGCTGGCAGCATTCTTAGCATTTGGGAGCCACAAGAAATGCAGAAGTCCATCAATGCCATACCAGAATCTACATTTTAACTAGATTGTTAGGCCACAGTTACGCTACAGTTTGAGAACCACAGAAGAAAGAGTAAGAGAAAGTAAAAGTAAGAGAAAAGGCTCATGACATTGCAGCTACCATTCAGGTAAAAATGAACTGCATACCTGTATATGTAAAACATAGTGAAATATTTACAGTGTTCAGCAGTTGAAAAGTTGGATGTAGGTATTCCTTAGCTAGTGTTATCTTGATGATTTTAAACATGTACAGAATGAGAAAACATCATTTAGGTGACTGTCGTTCAACTGAGTAGTGAGGAAGCCGGAACCCAAATCTGGTCATTATAGCACAACTTCCTGAGGACATGAAAACCTCTTGTAATCAGAGGGGCAAGGCATTGTTGCAGGACTAGATGACTCTAGAATGAAAAGCATCCAACCCAGTTCCGTTTTTTAAATGTACCTACATTTCCTTCCATCTTAAGCAACAAAAACAATTTCCTTCCTATCCATTTGGAAACCTCATTTTCAGGCCACAACTAACCACATTAGAGGGACTGAATGACTAAAATGTGGAAATAGCTAAAATAAAATTTCCTCTCATCAGTCTGTTGTCTCATTCCCTACTGAAACGGGACTGGGATTTCAGAGGATGTTGGAGGAAAACAGTTACAGAAGAAACACAATTAGCAGGTTAAGTTCTAGCACTTTCCCATTACTTACCATCTTTGTACCAAATTTGGTTCTTGGTTTTCTGCCAGTGCTTCCTGAGGGCTGACTGCCAAGAAAGCCTGACATCAACACTAAGTCTATTGTTTACCTCAGGTCACAGTGCTTTCTGAGGCAGACTTACCTCTGTAAGGGTCCTGGGGTGGGTTCAAGTCAGGAGAAGTTGCAGACTGGACAGGAAGCTGTGGAACTGGAACCTGGTTTGGCAGAATAGAATGGCTGCCTCTCAGAGCCACACCATCTTCACGATGGGCCCCAACCTGAAACCATGAGAGGAAGCAGAGTGTGGGCTGGAGGGTGTAACAGGGGCAGTGGGGAGGTGATACAGGAAGGGGTGGCCTGTGAAAACCATCCTCCCAATGCATTTCACTAGAGGGCGCTGGAGGACTGCACATGCACCTATAGTTCTCCACACTTAACACTCAGTAAGATGCTGTGCCTTACATCCAGTGACAAATACGGCAGAGTAGCTCAGGCAGGTAAAACGTCAAATTGTCTCCCAGGGTGCTGCAGTGGAGCGCACTGATTCGTACCCATCTGTCTTCTATCATGTCCGCCAACAGATCTGACAATTATCTTAATGCCCATATGCTTAATTGTGGGCTTCTCAATTCCCCCATTGCTATCGGAAATCCTACAGGAATTTCCATTTGGCATTCGACTTTCATTTCAGGGGATAAGATTCTCAGGCCTGCCATTTTTTTTTTTCTATAATGCCAGCTAAGCCTCTGACAGCGGAAGCTCCAGCAGTATGGGACATAGCCCCTGCTCGGTACAAATATAATAAAATGTCACCTGGCTTTCCAAAACTGGCAGCCCATTCCAAATTAATGTTTACTGTATTTCATCAGCTGCTGAGTTCCAAATCCAAAGGGGGACCATTTCTGCCAATGCCACCACACCGGAAAATGTACCAATAAAGGTTTTATTAAACACACCAGTAATACCATCATTGCCATGCAAGGTTGTTTGGACACTTTTCCAGTCCCTGCCCCCCCGACTATGCTGCTCCTAGAAAGACACCATATTGTAAATACTCTTTATGATTCCAAGAATAAAATTACAGAGTTCAGCATGATTACTTGATTTGAAAAAAAAATACTGCTGCGTTTTTATTAAGTAGTACTACATGCTCTGGAGTTCAGAATTGTTGAACTTGTGGCACTGTGACAGCAGTTGCTGACTTTATACGATATGCCCTAGGACAAAACCATTAAGTGTTTGTAAACCAAGGGAACAGGAACCACTCACATTTGCCTTTCTATTTCCAAGTGGTTATTTTGTCAGCCCACTATTCAGTATTTATGCTGGACAGTAAATCTAACTCTAACAAACATTTATCCACAAATTTATACTGCTGTGAATCAACGTTTACTTTTTAAAATCCAAAAATATAAACCCACAAAGCACAAATCTTTACTCTTTTGCTACCAAATTGTTTTAAATAAGTATTTCGAAACAATGCAATGACGGTAAAAATGTGAGGGAACATCTGTCAAAAATCACAGGACTAGGTCAACTACTTAAAGTAACCAAGTATTACATACCACCTACACACACACACACACACCCACACACACACTATTACATACCACCTACACACACACACACACACACACACACACACACCAACTATCCATATACTATCTATAAACACACATACACTACAAAAGAAAACAATGGAAAGAATTCAGGGAAGGAGTTGGGAGGAAGATCATATAAATCACGCTAACTGTTTAGATTCAAAACGCCAGCCAGAATAGTAAAAGGACTTAAAAGCTTGTGAGCACCAGAAAGTATAAATGAGAGTTTCAGCTGACACACCGGGGCATCAGGGCTCATGAACTTCTGAATGGAGGTTACTGAGCTTCCACAGAATTTCTTCAAATGTCCTCAGACTCTCATCTCCCTAAGCAGCTCATTCTGTTTTGACCACAGATAGGCCTGGAGGTAGATCCCATTCACTGGTCCCAGTTTCAAAACTGGGTCTCCACAGAGCATAAAGCACATATTGACCAGGTGGACATTACAAGTCTTTCCTCTGAGCTCAGATCCTCTCCTGCAGGCAAGCCAGGGCCACCTAACTCCTGCAGCCATGCCTCACTCACTCTTTAGACATTTCTATTTTTCTTTGGAACAAGGTGCATTTCCAAGCATTTCTACACCTGTGCATTACAAGACAGTTCAGTGGAAGATTTTCTCAGTCTTGGCTCTTGTCCTGAACTCCTGAATTTTGTAGGATTTGATCAAATGATAGCTCTTAATGCCTACCAACCAATGTGAACTTAAGGAATTGCCTTCATGCTGACTTACACTTATTGGTACATAATAGATTTAATTTTTTGAATTTCCAAAGTGTAATTCTAGATTGGAATCCCTGATTTGAGCTTAGTGCAGACACAGGCTCTTATTTCAAAATCTTATTTCAAAATTTTGAATACGCACAAGCCTTCTTTGTAGGCATCTGTGAGGTAATTTAACATTTTTTTTTCATTTAAAATAGCTCCTGATCTTGAATATTTTCCCCCTTTAGACTACATTTACATTAGTTCCCATAAAAGGGGGGAAAAAAAAAAAGAACTCATAACCACTGAACTTTGTATTTTCTTTGTCTTAGCTGATTATGAAAGTAAGGGTGAAGGGATAAAAATGTAGAAAAGTCAGAGATCTGGCAATGTGTGTCTTTTCTCATGTTTCTCTGTTAGGTGTCTAAGTAAGCATGGCAAGTTGTTTAATGCAAAATGAGAGCAGTGACAAATGTCAGAGAGTAAGTCTCAGGCTTACCATAAACAATTCTAGTATTATATGCAAAATGGTATTTTAGGGGCTGGACAGACGGTTCAGAGCACTGGTTGCTCTTGCAGAGGAGCCGGGTTTGGTTCCCAACACCTACTAGGCAGCCATCGATGGTTATAACTCCAGTTCCAGGGATGTAATGCTCTCTTCTGCCCTCTGTGGGCACTACATGACATGGGTGTACTTACACATATGCAGGCAAAACACTCATACACATACAATTTTTAAATTATTTTTATTTTATGTGTATGAGTGTATTGCCTGCATGTATGTGAGTGCACCCATGTCATGCAGTGCGGCAGAGATCAGAAGAGGGCCTCAATTTCCCCTGGAACTGGAGTTAAGGATGGTTCGTAGCCGCCATGTGGGTGCTGGGAATCGAACCCGGATCCTCTGCAAGAGCAGTTAGTGCTCTTAACCACTGAGCCATCTCTCCAGTCCCTAAAATTTTTTAAATGGTATTTTACATCTGGTATTTAAATTTAGTATTATATATAAAACTGGTGCATGGTAATTACATAACAGTTGCACACAGTACTTAATGCTTCAACTGAAAATACATGCATATTTCACAAAACTGATAGCCAATGAAGTTCAAAGAGCGTCAAACAAGCTACCATTACTTACTGAGGGTAAAATCTTTAACAATATATTTGAGAATCAAGTATATTTTTGTATGGATTTTAGGGCTATAAACTATCTAATTTTGTCTTTTATAGATCATCATTCTTACTCATTTTCCATAAAGGAAGTTGGGGGTCAATGTTGCTTTTGATATTTCACTGTCTCCTTTGTAAACTATGCATATTTTGGGTCACATGAATGACCTTGGATGGGTCCAACTCCATGTGGCGATGAGCTTGATCAACTCCGTTGCCTGTGGCTGTGGAATACCACTCCAATTCAAAAACCCACACAGACAGCATGTTCTAACCCTATTTTCTTCTCTTTTAGAAACAAGACAGAATGGTGGTAGAAGGCTAGTGCAAATCTATCACTAGGGTACTTATCAAAACAGGAACCAATACTCTCTCTCTCTACACACATGTCATGGATTTGTTCACTTTTCATATAATAAATATATAACTAGGAAAAGAAGATTCTTTAACCCAATGAATTGATTTTAAGTGTGATAAGTCATACATTTCCAGAAAATTCTTATTTCACTAATAGCCCTGTTTTGATAAACTTCTAAATCCAAGAGTAGTCAATTTGTGAAAACAGTCAATTTTACAGCTACTAAGTTAGCTCTCCTCATTGTCACTTTAATGTAGCTTTAAGTATTTATGTTAAAAGTGAAATTTAACATTTATTTATTAACGATTGCTTGATCAGAGATCATCTACTAATTAAACAGACATTTTCTAACCTAGTCCATACCTGTCCCTCTGCAAGATGCTGAGAAGAAAGGGTTGAGTAAGTCAGATGCGATCTGTGTCCTCAATAGCTTACAATGACCCTTGTGAGATTTTTTTTTTGTGCACTGGTCAGTTTAGTGTGGGAGTTTCAACAAGAAATGCCAGAGACTTTTGGAGGTCAAATAAAGCAAGATTCATCATACAGGTTTCTGTAACTTGGGTTTCGGGCCCAGGAGTTCTGGGGACCAAAGGCCACTCCTTGTCTCTCATGGGGCACTGAGCCTCACTATTGTCTCTGCAAACCTTTGTCTTTCTCTGACTTTGCCCCTCCTGACCCCAGCCCAGACTTTCATAGTGTCCTTGGGCACATTCTTTCTGGCTCTGTACCTGCTGCAAACTCCCTCTTGGTGTGAAGATTTCCAAGTTCTATGTCAAGACCATCTGACACACCAGCTTCTCTCTTTGAAATGGGTCATACTAGGAATAGAACACTCTATGCTCAAAGTGTTCAATGAGTCACAAAAGGACAAAGGGATAAGAACAGGTTGCCTAACATGGCTTGCCTTGGCCTGCTCCTCCTGCAGAACTGCTAAATCATGGATAGTACATACATATGCAAATATCTAAGTTACTTTGTATCACAGGTTATAGTATATTCAAATTCAGGAACAAGTACTTGAATTTTTTTGTGTAAGTTTATCATTGGGGATACCTAAGTATGTTTAGATGTGTATTTTTTTGAATCATATAAACACCATGTAATTTCAAATAATACTGAAGAATATTAAGACACATGTTAAATTCACAGAACAGAGACTTTAAGGGCTTGGAGGGACTCAGAAATTAAGGCAAGTTCTGTGTTTTAGAGAAGAAATTTAATGGTAAGAATGATTGAGTGTATTACCCAACAACTGGACAGAGAACTAAAAAAGATCTTAAACTCAGAAAGCTTATGATATTGATTGACCACTTTGATCGGGCACATAAATATATACCTAGGAAAGTAAGTTATGGGCTTTTATTTTAAAACTGTGTGTATATGTACAGGTCATAAGTACATGTATAGACAAATATATTACATGTTTATATATGGATGCACATACCCT